CTGAGAAAATCAGAAAAGTACATTTACAGTATTATTTGGAAAAATTCACTTGTAGTGGACTCGTGCTGTTCAAACCTGAGTTGTTCAAGGGCCAACTGCATATACATAGAGAACCAGTCTGGAGACATATACACTAATCTGTGAACAGAGGTCAGGTCTAGATCAATGTATGTCCAGCGACACTACCAGGGATCACTTAGAATGAGCGTTAAAATGGAATTATGGGCCATGCTTCTGGCTGGCTGTTTCAGAACCTATGAGGGAGGGGCCTAGGAATCTGGGTTTTAACATATCCCCTGGGGATGTATTTATATTCAGGACTTGGAGAACCGCCATTCTGCGGCACAAAATTACAGGCTCTTCTCCCTTGTCACTAGATTTTTGTAGTGTTTGTGGCTTTAAAAAGACAAGCAAGCATAGATTTCTTTTGCTATCAGAAAAAAGCAATAAAGATTAAAAATATGAAAAAGAGCCACCTTTCCCGACTAACTGTTTTTATGATTCACACTGGTTCAGTGGTGTCCTGTGAATACCGGAAAGCAGAGGTCCTGGGGAAAGGAAACTTGCAGCAGTTTACTGCAGGCTGAACTCAACCCCAGGGCCGCCCCTGCCTGGGTCTGCGTGGCTTTCCCTGGGGCCTTCCGGTCTCCCGAAAGGAAGGACTGTGGACTCCTAGGGGCCCGGGGATCAGATTCAGTCTGTGCAGGACTGAAGGGCGATCCCGGTGCTGAGCACACCCCCACACACTCCCTTCCTGTCCCTGGCAAGTTCGTTTTCTGGGGAACAAGAGAAGCAAGAAGAAGGGGCGGTCAAGACCACGAGAGGCCGTCGTGAGTGGGAGCTGGGCAGTCTTCCTGCTTCCGGGGCCTGGGCTGCACCTTGCTTTACAAACTCCCAAACCATCTTTCCTTTCATTTTTGCCCCTTTTCTCCAAGCCGCCAGGCGCCTGGAGCAGTTTATCTGGGTCTGCAAACATCAGACAAGAAGTTCCCATGGCAACTCAAAACTTCCTCCCCAGCCCAGTATTCATTTGAAATCTCCAAGGCCACTTTTCAAGCCTCAGTGAGGGTTTTGAGAGCCACCCACACAACTCTAGGCTCTAACCTCCCCCCACATCCCCTACATGCTGGGCTGAAAGGAAACTGGGGAAGGGGGGCCGGGGTAGGGAGAAGCTGCTTTGCTTTGGCAGAAACACTTGTCATGGGATCTACGGAGAGATTACAAAAGTAATGAGAGTTGCCTTTACAACAAGTTTGAACTAAGAGGAATTTACCCGGTGGAGGGATTTCAAGCGTGAAAACAGGAAAGTGCAAGGGAGTGGGAAGAATTGAGTCTTGTTTCAGAAAGCCGGTTGTCAACCCAGCTGCAATTAGGCAGTTAATCTGATCTCTCAGCTGCAGAAGGACCCTGGGATGCCCCCTCCCCCAGTACATTTTAATTCACCTGTAGCCACACAAGTGATGGACAGTGGATTTGGGGATGGGAAAGGGATGTGCGTGAGGGTGAGTGTCAGTGTCAGTGTGTGTGTGTGTGTGTGTGTGTGTGTGTCTGTGTGTACAGAGGAACCTGGGCAGATCATAGCCTGTCAAACCAAGTTCCATGATTCCTGGCAGTGGGGTTGTAGACACGCAAATAAAAATGTAGCATGCCCAGTTAAATGTGAATTTCAGATGAGCAGTGACTTTTTCTTAGACTCTAAAATATTCACTGAGCATCTGAGATTCAAATGTAACTGGACACCCTGTATTTTTCCCGGCAGCCCTACTCAGATGGAGACTCTTGCTGCCCCTCTGGCTGCCTAGGGGAAGCACAGTTGCCTATACCCACAGGCACCTGGGCAGGTGTTCCTCTGTCTGTGCTTGTCTGCCCCCCTGTCATGCTTCCCTCCCGGCCAGGAACCTGGCCTGAGCTCCAGGTAGGATGCCTGGAACTGCAGGTGGACCTTTACCACAGCACTGCGTGGCCCACTGGGCATGGCCGAGTGTGAGTGATTCCCCAGAGGTGACCCCTTCAGCTCAGTGCGTCAGAGCCTGGGCTCTGCTGTCAGTGTAGACACCACTCCTGGCTCCACAGATGGACAGCTAGGTGACCTGGTGACCTTCAACTACCCATCTCATCGTGTCTAAAATGGGGCATTCTTTTGAGGAGATACAGCATGGGAAGCCCTTCACATAGTGCCTGCCCCAGAGTCTGGGCTCCAAAGTGGTAGCTGTTATCTTGACAACCCATTCAAGAGCATTAAAGATTTTCATCCAAGTAATAAAAGTGGGATCAAAGACTAGAGTCAGGCCCTGGCTGGTTTGGCTCAACGGTTAGAGCATCTGCCCATGGACCGAAGGGTTGCAGGTTTGATTCCTGGTCAAGAGCACCTACTTGGGTTGCAGGTTTCATCCCTGGCCCAAGTTGGGGTCCTGTGGGAGGCAACCAATAGATGAGTCTCTCTCACATGGATGTTTCTCTCTCCCTCCCTCCTTTCCACTCTACCTAAAAATCAATTGAGAACTATCCTTGAGTGAGGATTAACAACAACCACGAAAAGACTTAAAGCCTAGAGTCAGTACAGCCTCCGCAATGTAGAACATACACACAGGACCACACACACAAACTATGCACAGCAAAGACCGGAAGGAGACACCCCCGTGTCACCAGTGGCTGCTTATGGTTAGTGGGATTCTGGGTAAGGCTTCCTTCTCTTCATTCACTATTCCTCAAAATATTCATGGTGAGCCTGTATTATTTTAATATTAAGGAGTTTTAAAAAATAATTTGGGATAGCAATTTTTCTAAAGTGTTATGGTACTTTGGTGCATAACTTGAGACTACTGTGTAAAAATGGCTGCCATCTTGGGTTTGACTCCATGATCCTGTCTTTGGAGGCTTCTGAAGGAGGGGACCCTTGCCTCTTCACTACATGGCCCCGTTGGCTCCTCACCCCTCACTCTTACTCCTTGCTCTTCCTTGGTGTGAGACAGCCAAAGCACGCAGCCCTGGGTTTGAATCTCAGTTCCACCCCTGATAGGCTGTGTGACCTTAGGCAAGTCATATTACCTTCTGAGCCTCAATTTCCTCATGTTTAAAATAGAGGTTAATACTACTCACCTCCCTGAGAGAAGCGACATCTGTTTAATTTATCAGTACATCCCTGTACCTTGCATAGGCCTAGTGCATAACAGCGGTCAATAAATAAATATTGGTTGAATGATTAAATGAATCATGAGATGTACAGTTCTTGGCAGGGTGAGTGGCAATAACAAGCGACCAGCAATCATTTGCCCTTGCTATGACTATTCTCAGAAGGTGTGCAGACTTTGGCGTCATTGGACCCAAATTTGAATGTGTTTTCTACCTTTTAGTGGGATAGAAAAGGTTCCTTAGCAAGGCCATGGCAAACTGCTCAAGCTCTCTGGTCTCAGTCTCCTCATTCATTAAATGGCAATGACAATTAGCAGGGACTTTGTAGAGTTGGGAAGGGGGGCCAGCGGCACAGTGCCTGCTGCAGAGTAAGTGGCCCCAGTCACAGGTCTCTGCTCCCGTCCTGCTGTGTCGCTCTGTTTAGTACAGTTACCAGGCGAACATGAGACCCCTGGAAGGGCTCTAATATATCTGCTAGTTTGGATGGGTTGTGAGGGGAAAATGTTACCTTTGGAGCCAGGCTCCAGGCTGCAGCTCCAAGTTGGGGGGACCACCGTTTCACGTTAGAGATGCTTTTTCCTCATCTTTGTGGGAAGATAGGAACTGGGTGGGGACACTTAAGAAGAGTGCTTGGTGGGGAAATCACTGGAGCTGGGATTTGAAATCAGATTCATTTAATCCCTTTCTGCCAGCTCAGCTCAGCTCAGCCGGATTTAAGACCCTCCCCCAGGAAGGCGCCGCCAGCCCTGAAGTCTTGGCCAGCTCTTGCTTTTGGACTTAGAGAGCCCTTGTTCCAGTGTTCCCAAGCAGTTCTCCGCGGCGGGATCTCCCCGGGGCGGAGCCAGTCTAGGTGAGAAAGGCAATCGGTCCCAGAGCGGATGGCTCGCGGGGCAGGCAGGACCGCTGCAGACGCGCGCAGCCGGCCGCGGGCCTCCCGCTTTGGGCTCCAGGGATCTGCGGGAAGGGCCACGGGATGCGGAGGCTCCTTGCGCACTGCACAGGGTCACTGCCGGGTGAGCCCAACAGCTTTCTAATCACGTACCCCAACAGGCACCGACCCACAGGAGACCGATCTTCACCTCTCCCAAATGTCGCTCTCAAGCACAAAGTCCGGAAAGAAACGCTTACTGCGGACATTCTTTTTCTTCCTTCTACATTCCTGTGTTTTCCAAATTGTTTGTAATTTTATTTTCCTAAATAAAAAAATCGCCCACTGTCCTGAGTGGTAAAGTAATATGCTCACTTCAAAGAAACAACACGACAAACAGAAAACACGTCATTCAACTCTCATCCTCAAATACGACCGCCGTTGTATTTCCTTCCAAATCTTTTCCTCCTTAAATGACACAGAGAAAAAACGGTTCCTCGCCTTCCAGTAACTTGCTCTCCCCACTTCCCGGGTCACCTCCCCACACTCCCACCCCCAAGGTGATATCCTCCAGGACGCAGTTCCGTCCGCTCGCGTCCCTGGTCTCTCCCAGTCCCCGCGCTCCCAGGCCTGCGCGCGCCTCCGCGCACATGTGAGTCTCTGCCGAAGAGACTGGCCGGGAGGTGGAACCTCGCAGGACTTTTGTCATCAGAAAACAGAGTATGAGAGTTTGTGAGCATGCGAGCTCACACACAGGAATACCCGCCCCCCAAAGGAAGAATATAGGAAGGAAAGAAGGAAGGAAAGAAGAGAAGGGTAAAAAAGTAATTAAAAAGAAGCAAAGAAGGGATGAAAGAAGGAAAGGAAAAGAGGGAAGCAGAGCAATGATGGACCAAAGTGCCCGGTGGAGGGCTGGCCAAAGACCAAAGCCCGGTACGCCCATCGTGCCCACCTCGAGCTCTTCCCAGTCAGAGGCGGGGTGGCCTTTCCCCCCACTTACCCGACCTGAGCAGCACAGCCCGGTAGAGCCCCGTGGCCTCGGCGGGCCCCCGTGCCCGCTCGCCCAGCCTCTGCGCCATGCGCCCGCGCGCCCGACTTGCGGAGCCAGCACTGCGGGCGGGGAGCGCACGGTGCAGCGCAGTCCCGAGTCCGAGCGTCTCCGCGGCGGTGACGCGGCCCAGAGGCCAAAACCCGCCGCGGATCAGGTTACGGCGGCGCCCGGGTCGGCTGCCGGGCGTGGAGGCGCCGCAGGGGGAGGGACAAGGAGCCAGGATAAGGGTAGGTATACGAGCCCAGGTAGCAGGCAGGGTTCGAGTAAGCGTCTGATGCTAGGACTCCTGGCCCCGCGGTTTCAGGTCCACGGGGAGAAACGGGTGTTCTGATTCCCAGCTTCTGTCTCCCACCTACTCTTCTTCATTTCCCTGGCCGCTGGCCACGCAGAGTGCTCGTACAAGCAGATGTGGGGTTCTGAAGTGGCATCCTTGGCATTGGACCCCAGCGCCACCTATTAATAACTGTGTGATCCCACGATGTAATTACCTAACCTCTCAGAGTCTCAGTTTTCTTATCTGTAAAATGGGTACTTATCTCACAGGGTTGTGAGGATAACTGATATATCTTAGAACAGTGGCTAGCACAGAACAAACACTATATACTGGTATTTTAAAAAGTGTTCCAAGGCATCCTGGGGTGGGTGGCACTGAAAAGCAGGGGACTTCACCAGGGAAAGAAGGTTGGGGTGGGAAACTTGTGGACTCCACAAGATTGCTTTCTCTGGCTTTGTGGAATCTTTAACAGCAGAGATGGAAGGACCAAACAAGAGTCTAAAGGTGGAGAGGCAAAGTCAACCAGGCGGATTTGGAAGATACAAGAAACTGACAATTTTGATTTTCTACTCTTGTGTCTGGTGCTGTGCTAAGTCTCTTCTAAAACAAAATACTAATGTTTACTGTGAGCTTTATGTCCTATTTTGTTTCATCTTCACAATCCTATGAATTAGCATCTATTAGTCTTCCAATTTTGCAGATGAGCACACTGAGGCTCATAGAAGTTAAACAATTTCTCTGAGATCACACAGTATGGAGCTGGGATACAAACTCGAGTGGTCGGACATAGACATGGGCCTTGCTCATGGACTTGCTACAAAAGTGCTGAAGGGTATATTTATCTCTAGTTTAGAGATGAGATCATTGAGACTCAGGGAGGTGAGGTGACTTGTTCATGCTCACACAGCTAGTTGGAGAAGCCAAGACCCAATCCAGTCTTCACCCACAAAACTAGTGCCTCGCAAATCTACAGCCCCCCCTGGAGCTGTCCAGGGTACTGGATGGCATCTGTTAAGGCTGTACTTGTGCGGGCTGGGGAATCTTGAGCTGGCTGTTGGGGCCTCCGCCACACAGTATCACCTCCATCTGCTTCTGTATCCTCTCCAGCCTTGGTGTCTCTTGGGCCAACTGCCAGCCAAGCCCTCTCTGGCTGGCCCTTGGCCACTGCACAGCTTCTGTTCTGATTCAGAGATCCCTGTACTTCTCTCGTCCTCCGTCACCACCCTGGGTCCCAGGAACCTAAGTGACACACTTTGATCTTCAGGGACCTCACCGATTGGCTAGACTGAACATGTCTCTCATCAACAACCAGCCACCATGTGTGCCAGGCACGATGCCAGACATGTGGCACTCACTATCTCATATTCATTCTTCAGAGGATGAAATTATATTCAGTTTACCATTCATCTCATTTTATCCACTCTTTGATCAAGTGTGGTTAAGTCCCTTTTAGAAATGGGGAAAATAAGGCTAAAGTGAGTTGCTCAAGATCCCATAACTAGTTAGTTGTGGAATTGGAATTTTATTAGTATTATTTTTTTTGGAATGTGCCCCTAGCGGGAACCCATCCCAGGACTCTCTGGTCTGCAGGCCAACACTCCAACCGCTGAGCCAAACTGGCCAGGTCTGGAATTGGAATTTGAACCCAGGTGGCACCAAAGCTTTTGCTGCAGGTTTCCCAAGCCAGCTACTGAACAAGGCGGGGGTTCAGGAGAATTGCAGCTAAGGAGCGAGCATTTACAGAGCACTCCGAAAGGATTAACTCAGGTCGCAGCCCCTCCCCCAGGAATTCTAGGTGGATCTGACTTACCTGAGCCATTTAGTCTCTGCTTCTCATTTTCATTATGAAATATGGCCTGAGGATAGTATTCTTTCTGTGAACAGAAAGAAAGTAGGTGGAGGTGAGGCCTCTGTTCCTTGGCAGGGAGGAGTGAGAACATTTTCATAGTGTCCCTGAGCCTTTTGACTAAGAAAGGACTGGTCAGGGGCAAAATACTCTCCAGAGAAACAAATTACTATGTCCTTGGAGAGAGAGAGAGAGAGAGAGAGAGAGAGAGTGTGTGTGTGTGTGTGTGTGTGTGTGTTGAGGGCCATTTATGAGACTCAGGCTGTCTTTATTTTTATTTATTTATTTTATTTTTTATTCTCACCCGAGGATATTTTTTCATTGTTGTTCAGATAGAGTGGGAGGGGGAGAGAGAGAGAGAGAGAGAGAGAGAGAGAAACATCAATGTGAAAGGGACACATCGAGTGGCCACCTCCCGCACAACCCTAACCGGGGCCGGGGACAGACTGCAACCGAGGTACGTGCCCTTAGCGGAAACCGAACCCGGGTCTCTCTGGACCTCGGGCTGACTCTCTAACCGCTGAGCCAAACCGGCCAGGGCAGACAGAGACTCAGGCTGTTTTTAAAAAAATAGATTATTTTTAGAACAGTTTTAGATTTGAGAAAAAATTGAGATGATAATACAGAGTTTCTTGTACCTCACACCCAGTTTCTCTGTTATTAATATTTTACTTGTATGTAGTTGTACATGTATGTAGTATGACACATTTGTTACAATTAATGTACTAATTTATATATATTATTATATATAAATTAGGCTCCTCTTGTCTCAGATGGTTTGGTTTTGGTGACCTCGACAATTTTTTGATGATCTCGAAGAGTACTGAGCTTCATGTCTTTTTTTATTTTGGGGAGTTATCCACGCAGTTCCTTCTTCCTGGCCCGCCTTCTCCCCACCTTCCTGGCAAACTCCTCATCCTTTAAGGGTCAACTTAGAAGGCTCCAGGGTTTGGTTCTAAAGGTCAGTTCTTGGACTTCTTTTCTCCCTCTACACTCATGACTTTAAAAACAACTCTAAGCCAAAGATCCCCAAAGGTGTATTTCCAATCCAGACTTTCGCTTTGAGCTTAAACATTGTCCACTGGGCTACTTGACATCTCCACCTGAAATTCTAATGTGGCCCAAACAGAACTCTTGACCACTCTAGCCTCCAACCTGTCCCTCCCCTGTAGCTCCATCTTGGCAAGTGGCATATGGCCCTGTCACTCATACAGGAACCTGGGGGTCTACCTTGCCCTGTCTTCCTGAAACCTCACAGTCCTCTGGTCACTGAGGCATGATGGGATCACCTCCTGGGATCTCTTCAATCCATCCACCCCTCCCGATGCCTCTACCCTGGCCCCGCCGCCATCCGCCTGGATGCCTGCAGTAGCTTGTTCTCCTTCGAGCTGTGGTCCACACAGGCTCCAGAGCAAGCCTTTAAAATGTAACTCCGACTCTGACCCTGCCCCACTCAGAACCCTTCAGTGCCTTCCCGTTGCACTTGGAATCAAACTCACACGCCTTCCCTTGGCCTTTAAGGCCTCTGCAACCCGGGCCCTCCCAGCCAGCCTCTCAAATCCCATCTATTTGTTCCTTCCAATGTTCAAGGGCTCAGGATGCCTCAGTGAAGAAAACAAAGGCCCTTGGCCTTGTGGAGCTGACCTCCCAGTGGGAGAGATAGCCAGTAAGGAACAAGTGAAGTGGATGGTGTGGCAGAAGGTGATAGACACTGCAGGACAAAGGGAAGTAGAGGAGGGCGGGTGGCGAGGGCAGTGTGGGCAGTACGTGGCAATGCAGGGCTGCTCAGAGGGTCCCATTCAGAAGGTGAGAGGTGAGCACAAACCTTGAAGGAAGTGGGGGGAGTTGGCCAAACATGAGCTTGGGGGGAAGTGTCACAGACAGAGGGAACAGTTAGATCAAGGGTCCTGAGGCTGGAGCACGCCATAGGGAACAGCAAGGTGGCCAAGGTGGCTGGAATGGAGGTAGACGCAGAGGCAGTCACATAAGGGAAGGTCACCGAGGAAATGGGGTTCCGTTTCCTCACCTCCCATACTCCAGTCGCTAAGAACTACTGGGTTCCTGAAAGTCATGCCGTCTCTCACTTCCTGTTACGCACACGTCCTTTCGTCCGCCCAGGATGCTCATCCCGCAGGCTAGGCCGAAATGCCACTTCCTCAAGGCGGTCCCCAGACTTCCCATATGTTAATATTCACCACTGAATTACGATTGTTTGAGCCCCAGGTCCTCAACTAGACTGTACTTGCCTGTTCACAGCTGTCTCCTAGGGCCTAGTCCAGAGCTGGGCTTGGACTGGATGCCCGATAACAATTTCTTGAAAGAATGAATGGAGCAAGTGCATGAATGAAGGCACCCACCCGGGAGCTCTGGGCTATACAGGGAAAGCGGCTAATTCTATAGAGTAAGAAAGGGGGGAGGCCCCCTGCTGCCTCTCCTGGGATAATTCAGGGTGGATAGAAAGGCCTGGGGTCCTGACGTTTTCCCGGGGTGCTCCATTCTGAGCTCTGCCACCAAGGAGGCCAGCGAAGAGGGAGGGTGTTTTTTGGGATTTGGCCAAGCCTCTTTTGTGGTTTTTAACAAAGGGATTGAGAGGACCAGTAACTTCATCTGTGAAAGGACATAGAAAAAGGATCTGCTCCAAGGGGCTCCCAGCTTCTTCTCACATCTCCCCACACAGACCTGGGAAGTGGGGCTGGGTCCCAAGGGCAGTATTAGCATCACAAAGCCAGAATTGCGTAAGGAGCAGCTCCCAGAACGGGAGTTCAAAGGATTGTCCCTTGCGTGCCTGCCAACCCCCCTTACATGAAAGACTTGCTGGAAAATCAGGCCAACTTATGTCCAGTGAAACCTCAGTGACCAAGGCAGAGGCCTCTCTGTCTTTGATGACGAGCTCCGTGAGCCAGAGAACCCTCACCTGGGTGCTGCCCCTTGTGAAGGCAAAGCTAGTCTGAAAAGCCACCTGGATCCTTGCTGACGTATTACTGGTAACTGATAGTCTTTTCTAAGGACTGTGCTGGGAAATACAGCCAAT